CATTGTAATAGAGTCATCTATTTTTTATTACTAAAAATCATGAATTTAGTTTTATTCCAGTTTATTGATAATTTATTGTATTTTAGCCACTCGTTAAGTTTAGACATCTCACCAGCCATTTGTTCCATAAGGCTTTTTAGATCATTCCCAGAACAAAACAAATTTGTGTCATCTGCAAACAGGATAAACTTTAGCAGTTTAGATACTTCACAAATGTCATTAATATACAAAATAAAAAGCTTTGGTCCTAACACTGAACCTTGGGGAACTCCATACTTTGAAAATCTGATTTTATATTTCCTAGTTGTACAAACTGTTTATGGTTAATTAAATAACTATTCAGCCAATTATGGACTATCACTCTTTTCCCATAATCCTGTAAATTAGAAAGTAATAGAGTGTGGTCAATAGTGTCAAAAGCTTTTTCTAAAACAACAAACACCCCCGCTGTGTGTTGCTTCCTTTCTATTGCTTCTGTAATTTCTTCTTTTAATTTTAATAATGCATGGGATGTTGATTTATTTGATCTAAACCCATATTGACTATCACTCAATAAGTTATTTTTTCAATATAACTAATTTTGAAACAAACCATTTTTCAAGCACTTTGGAAAACTGGGGGAGGACTGAGATTGGTCTATAATTATCAAAGCTATGTCTATCTCCATTTTTAAATATTGGAATTACTGTTGCTAACTTCATTTTTTCTGGAAATATACCACTCTGGACTGACAAGTTACAAATATAAGTAAGTGGTTTAATAATACAGTCAATAGTTTGTTTTGTAACGGGCATATAAATCCCATCACTATCAAGAGATGTTTTAGTTTGACTTTTTTTCACTGTTGATAAGATTTCATTTTCACTTATGTCTCCAAGAAACATTGACTGGAGAATTCTACTACCACCCTGCACAGTTCCACCTATTTTATTATTTGTCTTATTCGACAATGCCAGACCTGGTGCTATATTTACAAAAAAGGAATTAAATTCATCATCACCTTTTGTTTTTCAGTTGTTTCTACCTTTAAAAAGTTGTTTTGAACACAAGTTAATTAGGTCTTATAACACTATTCAGAATTTTCCACATTCTTTTCATATCACCACTGCTTTCTCTCAACTTTAGGTTATAGTAATTTTTCTTAGCATTTCTTAATAATGTTGTCAATTTGTTTTTATATATCTTGTATTTCATCTCTTTAGATGCAGTTGGAAATCTGACAAAATCTCTATATAGCTTATTTTTCTTCTTGCAGGATTTTAACAGTCCCGTGGTCATCCAGGGCTTTGCATTTACATTTTTAGTTTTACGGCACACTAATATTGGGCCATTTTTGTCATATAATAATTTATAAACCTGCAAGAATGTTTCATATGCCACATTCACATCCTTCACATATACCCCACTCCAGTTTTCCTTTAACAAGTAATTACAGAATTTCATCATCGTTTCATCTGATCTGGTTCTAACATGCCTTACCTCATCCACTTTGATAGTTTTTTTATTTTACTACAGTGAACTATGAATATGGGCAAATGATCACTTATATCATTTATTAAGATCCCACTGTACATAACCTTCCCAGTTTCATTTGTGAAGATATTATCAATTAAGGTTTCACCAGTACTAGTTTTCTGGTTGGTTGAGTAATCACTGGATATAWACTTCTACTGGACATGGCATCTACAAAATCTGTAGTCATTTTGTGTTGTCCTTGTTTTAGTAAATCAATGTTGAAATCTCCACATATTAACCAAGTTTTTCTATCATTTAATCCATCCAGGAGATTTTCACATCTATCTCTAAAATATTCTGTATTAGAACCTGGTGGTCACATACACCAGATGAGCTTGTTTGCTAATTTTATGACATTTTTTTGTTGTTTCTAATGTTATTGTGTGACATTACCGTCAGTTCAGCATTTCTGGGTGTAAATTGTAAAACTTAAGCTGTGACTATGTAAAAATCATAAAAAATGTCCATGTGCAAATTTAGACATGAAAAGTCTAAATAAAATAAATAAATAAACAAAAAATAAATAAATAAATAAAAGCCACTGATGATGAAAAAAATAAGAAACTAATATTCAGTTCTGCTTTCTACTGAAGTGGCTTAAGAATAAAAAAAGAAAAGTCTAATGGTCTGTTTAAACATTGAATCCACACTGAACTTTACTGTTCACAGTGTCTGAGCGCGCAGCGCGTTCACCGAGGGACCGCGCACAGGATTGCTACGGGCGCGCGCATGTGGTGAAGGGAGGGTGTGAGGACAATATTGTTATTAATGATATTAATACTGTTGCCATTATAGTTGTACACTTAATAAGAAGTGCAACCAAGGGTGACAGATGGAGCATAACAAATAAAGTGGGTTCGACAGGGGCACTTGATGGTCTGGAGGGAAAAGGGCGGGTGCTCGAACACCGCCTGACGTCTATCTGTGCACGTCCCTGGTTATTATTATCTTAAGGGGGTAGAGATGTCTGTGAAGCCTTAGTTATTTAAATGGTTCAAGCTCATGTAATCATTTAATACTGTTTGTTCTACATATTTGATCATTTATTGAATTACATTTATCACAGAGCAGTTCTGTCACAGACAGTTTCTAAATGTAAACAAGCAGTGAAAAATGAAAGTTGTATACTTATGATAAACTACAACATTTGACACACGCTCTCACCTGGAGAACATGATACTTTTCTCCAGGGGCCTCATGTATAAACGGTGCGTACGCATAAAAAAGTTGTGTGCGCCAGGTTCTACGTCCACGTTGTGATGTATCAAAATCAACGTTGCATGAGAATGTGCAGCAGCCACGCAAAGTTTTTCAGTCGACAGTTTTAACCCACAAAGTCATGAATCTGACCTGAATCCACAGAAATATGACTCTGTTCTGTTTTCTGGATGTAAGGAGCGTCTGAACACGGTGTCAGATTTGTTTTTTAGTTTGAGTTTTTATTGTTTAAACTCAAACAATCATGAAACTGAACCCCGGGACTGAAAATTTATTTTAATTTTACCTCAGACAAGAAAATAGAACTGTTTAAAACTGATGAACAAACCTCAGTCCAGTCCACTGTAACTGTAAAGTTTTTATATTTCTGTCACGTGGAAACACACGCAGAGCGCAGATGGTGGAGCGAGGAGAATAAAATGTGTGAATTGTCTAAGAAACACTTTAATTCTCACTGAGAAAAAAAGTCAACTCAGCAGATTAATTCAGAACAGCTCAGCTGTGATGATTCCTCAGCTCCACAAGATGCAGACAATAGATTTGCTGCTGCGTAAAGTTGTGTGTAATTTGTGGAACAATGTCAGCTGTTCTGTAGGGTGATATCCCCATAAGAAGAATTGAGGACGGTGTGTATTTTTATTTATGTAGTTTTTTGTCACACCGAACAAATTACAATCAGGTATTTTACTGTAGTTCTGAGAAGAGTCATGCAGCTGAATGAAAGACTTCATAAATTCATAAAGTTCTACCAAACTCATCAGTTCCTCTGTGTTCAGTCATTTATTAAAGATGTGTAAAAGTGGAACTGTCTCTCAGCCTCATGCACTGCTGAAAACAGCAGCTTCACACATGCACACGCACACACACACCAACACCCACACACCTTTGAGTGTGGCAAATGCTTTTTTTTACACTCCACTACTTATTTAGACAGTTTTCTCACTCATTCTCCACTTAATGTATAATTTTCCTGCATCTAAAAATCATTTCTGATCCCACAGAGAGGACAATGCGGAGAATCTCACACTCTGGACACATTTACATCTATTTTACAGATTTAAATGGAGGCGTGTCAGGGGAGGTCTCTCGGGTGCGCACAGTTCCACGTTCATTGGGATGTATAAAGGAATGGAGCCCAGGAACCTGCGTGCACACGGTTTTATACATCTGAGTTTTTGGTGTGGCGCACTTTTCTAAATTTGTCCGTATGTTAACTTTTAGTGTGAAAGCTAAACATCCTACAGTATTTTTACCGTCTTTATTTTACAGTTAAAATAAATGTTTATCAAATAAAGTCTGTTACAACTAATCATGGAACCCTTTAAGCCCTGTTGTATATATATTTTCTTCTATCGTATATAGTTATTTTTGTTTTAAATGAAAGAATAATTTTTTAATAAAAAAAATAAAATTGGCTCTGGTCTTTATACACTTCTTTACAAACTTCTTTGCTCTACTGTCACTCTACTGTCACTAACAGCTCTGATCAGAGAAACAAATGACTTCACTGTATAAGATCTAACATGCAACACAAACAGCCAAATGATACACTGTTTATTACATGATAATAGTAAGTAAAGTAAGTAAAGTAAAGTTTTATTTATATAGCACCGTTAACAGAACTAAATTCACAAGGTGCTGTACATTCAGGGAAGGGGGGAGGGGGCAGTTAAGGAACACCCATTTAAGAAGACATACAAGACAAACATGGGGAACAGGTGAAACAGGTCATGCTGCAAACACAGTTGCGTTACATTTAACAGAAAAACTAAAAACCACACAAGGGAAGATGAGGAAAAAAACATCATATTATATCAACAATGTGACACACTATGGTGTTTATTTAAAAAAAACCCTCTGCATGGAGCACATTTAATTAACCAGAGGAGTAAGTGAGTTTAGGGGAGCAGATCTGAAGCCATGAGTGTTGTATGCTTGTGTGAAAATCTGAAGAATAAGCCAGAGGAATCCAGTCCTCAAAACCAGCACAGCCATAGTTCAGAATATGAATGTTAAAATAATAATAATAATAATAATAATAATAATAATAATAAAGTCAATCACTCACCAGTCTTGTAAAAAGGAGCAGACATGGCCACCTCCACCTCCACCTCTTCCTCCTCCACCTTTACATCAGGGGGAGCCACCAGATAGATGAGTCCGCCCCACAAGTTCCACACCTGCATCCTTTCTGATGTTACAAGGAAACTCTTAATAACAACTGGTGCTCTCAACAACTCTTCCTCATTCAGTGTATCACTCTGACAGCCAATCTGGATCTTTGATGACACAAATCACTCATTAGAAAATGCACATTACATTATTTAGCAGAATGCTAAGACCATTTGAGTTATTTGAGATTATGTTTGCTACCATCCATTTCCTGTTAACAAGCTTTGGTGGTATGGTCATCCAGGTCTTCATGCCAGGAGGGAGGTACAGACCTGTACTGATCCACTCTTCATTTTCTGCCACATAAACAGAAACATAAATTTTACATAAAAATAGATTTATTGCAATATAAACACTCACAGCTGTAGCACACAACACCAGAAGGCATCATTGATTTCATGTTTATATATGGGACCCATCAAATCGAGGATTAAGTCCATTTCAGTCAAAATTATCTAATCGTGTTTTAAGATTCCTGGCTTTAAAAGCTACTTTTTCATCCAGATTTCATAAGCGGTTCCAGAGATGGGATTAATTTGTCTTGTTGATTGCGATGAGACATTAATGATTGGTCTGAATCCTATTTTTCTGTAATTTAAATGAGGAAGTTTTGATGTCATAAATAGGAAACTTCAAATAGTATTTGAATATTGGTTTTTCCAGCTGGAAAGAAATAAAACCTTTGGTAGCTCACAAGGAAAATTTCAAAATTTTGGGACTTTTTTTGATCAAAATCGTTGCCATTGTTGTTTATTTTATTTTATTTTATTGTTTTTGCTACTGTTCAAATAAGTGCTTCAAAAATAATTTTTTGGATTGAGGGAAATTTTATGACTAATTAACTAAATGTTAGATCCAGTCTTGTATTTTTATACTATACTTTCTGATCATTACAGCCATATGGTTTAAACAGAGAATGAGAGTTGGTGTGTCTTATCATATGAGGCCTCTCTGTTTGCATAAACAAAATTATCACAAGCCCACTTTTCTTATTCCACAAACCCACTATTCACAAAGTCTTCTGCTTTAAAATTTAGTGATATCATGTATTTAAGAACACTAAGTTACTATATTGAGTTGAAGTAGCAGGTTTCAGCCAAGATTCTGTTGAAAGCAGTTTGCCATATTTGGTCCAGGAATGTTCTAGATCAGGGGTCTCAGACTCGCGGCCCGGGGGCCAGTTGCGGCCTGCGGACCAGTACTTTGTGGCCCCCTGCCTGAAATCAAAGCTTAGTGTTATTGCGGCCCACAGGCACCTGCATGAGTCATTGCCCTGCGCGTTTTACATATTTTGACACTTGTGGGCTGCCGTAGGTCAGCCTCGCGACAACAACACCACGAGTTAGCAGCGTTGGTCACATGAAACGTGTTTCGGAACTGTCCGTGAGTGGAGGTCACCCAGCCGTAGTCATGTCTTTTTCAAAACCTGTCATGAAGAGAAAGGTTGGTGACGAAAACAGACAATTTCAGGAGAAGTGGGAGACGGAATATTTTTTTGTTAAGCTCAGGGGCATCTCGACATGCCTAATATGCACAGATAAAGTTGCGGTTCACAAGGAGTATAACATCAGACATCAGTACTCAACTAAACATGCTGAGGAGTATGCAAAATACCAAGGAGATGAGCGAGAGGACCGGGTCTGCAAACTTAAAACATGTCTACTGAGGCAACAAGATTTTTTTAAAAAGGCAAGCAAAGAGAGCGATGCAGCAGTCGAAGCTAGCTACGTGGTGAGTGAAATGATTGCTAAGTCAGGAAAGCCATTCAAAGACGGCGAGTTCATCAAACAGTGCATGTTACAGGCTGCAAGTATAGTCTGTCCAGAAAAGAAGAGTCAGTTTAGGAACATCAGCCTTTCAGCTAACACAGTGGCAGAGCGCATTTCTGACATGTCAGGTAACATTTATGATCAACTGCGTGAGGAAGCTAAACTTTTCCATTCATACTCGGTCGCTCTTGATGAGAGCACAGACGTCACTGACACTGCACAGCTAGCAATATATGTCTGTGGTGTTGATGACAGTTTTGAAGTGACGGAGGAGTTGCTCACAGTAATTCCAATGCATGGCCAGACCACCGGTCAGGAGATATTCCGCCAGCTGTGTGATTCCATTGTGGATGCCGGCTTACCGTGGAAGAGTTTCGCTGGAATTACAACCGATGGAGCACCATCAATGACAGGGAGGAGAAATGGACTGGTGGCTCTTGTTCAAAGTAAACTGGAAGAGGAGGGTGTGGAAAAGGCCATTGCTCTGCACTGCATTATCCATCAACAGGCGCTTTGCAGCAAATGCCTGAAGTTTGAAAATGTGATGTCTGATGTTGTGAAATGCATCAACCATATCAGATCCAGGGGCTCAGTCAGCATATGAGGATGTGCTCTATTTCACCGAGGTGAAATAGAGCACGTCTGCGCCCGCCTCCTCCCTTGGCCCCTCGTCTGCGCCCACCTACTCCTGTGATATTGTATCTGCTACACTTCCTGCTGGGCCTCGTGCGGTGGCGGGTGCACTCCCTGGACAGTTTTCTGGACGTCCCCCTGGACTTCTGTGTTTTTTTGTCCTGAGTTCCCCTGTCTCGTGTTTGTGTTCCTCTTGTCCTGTGCCTCTCCCTTTTCGACGTCAGGAGCCGTCGTTAAGAGGGGGGTACTGTCATGATCTGTATTTATTCTCCTTGGTTTTCCCAGTGTTTTTCTATGTTCCCCAGTGTGTCTCTGCGCAGCTGCTCCTTGTTGGTCTGATTGTCACCCTTGTGTTTCTCCTCAGGTGTTTTCTGTTTAGTAATTAGTTGTCAGTGTCTTTAAGCCCTGTCCTGTCTCAGTCTTTTGTCGGATCATTGTTTCTGTATTGTCCTGCACTACCAAGCCTTGTGAGTATTTTGAGCTGCCCTTGTGCTCTTTTTGTCTGAATAAATTTTGATTTTTGATTCTTTTGAAACTGCCTGCGCCATGGGTTCATTCCTGCCCGAGAACCGTTACAATTTTCTTTTCATTTAAAGTCAAACATTGAATAAAGAATGCTAACAATGAGTTCTTTTTAAATTTAATCTTTTCTTTGTCAGGTTTTGTGTGCTCTAAATGGAACATAAACAGTAATTTGGAAAATAAAATTAGTATAATAAGAACAATTTGCTTTTGTTTCAATAAATATTAACAGAAATTGGCTCTTGATCTGGACTAAGTGTAGAACTTTCGCCCCCTTGTGAATTCGACTCCCCTGTGTTACAGTGTTACATTTTGACAGTAATTTAGAGTCTGATTAGTTTAAATGTTGTAATTTATTGCAGTGACCTTTGTCACCAAGCCTTTTCACCCAAATAAACATATTGTTGGTGTTTTAGCTATACAGCAGAGAAGCAGCTCTATGTTTTCCTGCCTTCCTCCGTCAGACACAGATGAAGCTGAATTGTTGGAATTCAGATCATGGAAACAGCTCTATGATGGAGAGACTGAATGAAGATCCTCCATAGAACAAAAAAGCCATTAGTAATTTTGTGAAAATAAACTTGATCGTAGTTATTTTATAACCACTACAAAAATTGTCATTACTAGTTTTTGTTCTGTTGTTGCCAGTTTGTTACAGAAACCAACCTGTAGAGTGTTGAATATTAAACATCTGTATCAGACAGAAAAAATCTGATTTAAAATAGATAAATATGCACAATGTTCAAGATGTGTCTGTAATGTCACATTATTAGGACAGCTTCTGATTCTGTGCACCGGAAAAGGTGCCCCCTTTTTACATTTGAGCACCTGCCCCCGAAAATGTCTGTGCACGCTACTGATCTATCTGTTGCTCCACGGACCACTTTGGAACTTATTTCGATGTGATGGGTCACATATTTTTAATAACAGAAAAATATGACCTGCTGTTTGTGCATTAATCTTGATCTTCATGTTGTTGACAACAGGTGGGATCTTTTTGATGAGAAAGGGCAGGAGGGTATCCTTGCTGAGGGAAACATTAAATACTTCTGTCGCCAGCATGAGAAGCATACGGTCCTGCGCGCTCCTTACAGGATTCTGCTCATTTACCTTGAAATGAAATTTATAAGAAACACATATATAATCCATCCATCTATCCATCCATCCATCCATCCATCCATCCATCCATCCATCCATCCATCCATCCATCCATCCATCCATCCATCCATCCATCCATCCATCCATCCATCCATCCATCCATCCATCCATCCATCCATCCATCCATCCATCTTCTTCCACTTATCCAGGGTTGGATCATGGGGGCAGCAGCCTAAGCAGGGAGACAGCCACTTGGGCCAGCTCATCCGGGGGGAATCCCAAAGCGTTCCCAGACCAGCTGAGAAACATAATCCCTCCAGCGTGTCCTGGATCTTCCTCTGGGTCTCCTTTCAGTAAGACGTGCCTGGAACACCTCACCAGGGAGGTGTCCAGAGGGCATCCTTACCAGATGAACCACCTCAACTGGCTCCTCTCGACGTGGAGGAGCAGCGGCTCTACTCTGAGTCCCTCCTGGATGACTGAACTTCTCACCCTATCTCTAAGGGAGAGCCCAGACACCCTGCAGAGGAAACTCATTTCGGCCGCTTGTTTCCGCAATCTCGTTCTTTCAATCACTACCCAAAGTTCATGATGAGGGTAGGAACGTAGATCGACCGGTAAATTGAGAGCTTTGCCTTCTGGCTCAGCTCTCTCTTCACCACGACAGACCGTTACAGCACCCACATCACTGCAGATGCAGCACCAATCTGCCTGTCAATCTCCTGCTCCATTCTTCCCTCATTTGTGAACAAGACCCCGGGATACTTAAACTCATCCACCTGGGGCAGGACCTCTTCCCCAACCCGGGGGAGGCACCGTACCCTTTTCCGGCTCAAGACCATGGTCACTGGAGGCACTGATCCTCATCCCGGCCACTTCACACTCAGCTGCGAACCGCTCCAGTGAGAGCTGGAGATCACAATCTGATGAAGCCAATAGGACCACATCATCCGCAAAAAGCAGAGATGTGATCCTAAAGTCAGCACAAGGGATCCTCTCATCTCCTTGGCTGTGCCTAGAAATATAATCCAGTCTTCATAAAAAAAAATTAATAAAAAATAAATCAAATGAAAGAAAAAATATACATTATAATGTTGTGCATCTAAGACCTGTGGGTGTAAAAAAGCCCAAAGGTGTTTTTACCCCATAACTGTCAACCCCCACAGTCTCCTCCAATAATACGCTGGTGACTTTGAGTTTCGAATCAATGAATACATTTTAGCATGTTGGTGTTTCTTGACCAATGAAGCCATGAGACATCTTTGGTAACTTTCAGGCCATCTCTCTTGGCTTTTTGCAACACATTTACATGCAGAGAGCAAAACCACAGAACTGGTCAGCTTCAATTAGGGCAATAAAAAATATGTGTAAAAACAGTGTGTAAAAACTAAACTTAGCACAGAAAGTAAGCAAATTAGTGTTTAGTAGATTATTTCTTTCTTGTTAGGATGCTTCTTGGCAATAAATCTTATATCACTAGAAAGCCTGTTAATGTCTTGTATAAATGGTGCCACATTTGTAAAGAACATGCATTTACGAAATAGTCTCAAAAACTGTAAAATAAATGCTACAGCTAATACACATGATGAGATACATACAGCGGATAAAATAAGTATTGAACACGTCACCATTTTTCTCAGTAAATATATTACTGGAGGTGCTAATGACATGAAATTTTCACCAGATGTCGGTAACAACCCAAGTGATCCATACATACAAAGAAATCAAGTTCAAGTTCAGTTTATTTATATAGCGCCAAGTCACAACATACGTTGTCTCAGGAC